TTATCTGTGACATATCTGTGTTCCGCGAATTGACGAATCTTTCGAAACGCTGCCGTAAGAACTACGCACTGGACTACGATCAGCAACACCAAAGATACAAATGCTAATAAAACGCCCCAATTCAGTGTTATGTATACATTGTTCTTGACAGGTCTTTTCGCAATATTTTCTTTTACTGGGGATACTGTGGCAATGGTAGTGGAATAATTGCTATCTCCTTTAGGGCTTTGGGATGATCTTGAATCTTGCTGAGGCGCGGCGCATGGATCTGTGATGATGTTTCCACTGTGTAAGGGATCCCATACAAAGTCATTACATGTGCATCTATCGATTGGTTGATCTTGAAGAGAAGCACAGCAAAAAGCATTTTGAGGATATCTAACCCATATAATCTGTTGTAGAATATCCCCAACCTTTGTAGGTGTAGTCACATGGGGTAGCCGGATTCCATTTTGATAGCAAGCAATTTGGCCTGGCATACTCCCGGCAGGAGCCTTGCACAGCATGGATCTCCAGTCATCGACAACATTCTCCTCTCCCCACTCGCAAGACGCCTTACCCGGTGGATAATCAACCCTCAAACCAACCCTTGGATCCTCTGGAATAATTCCATCATCACTATATGCAGTGAGAATATATCCGCCTTCGTCAGACCTCAGTACAGGATTGACTTTAAGTTGGAGAAGACACTTGTTGCTCTCAGTTTCACTTTGAAAAACAAGGTCTCGATTCTCGGGCAATGGCACTGACTGTGGATTAGCTGAATCATAAAATGGAGTTATGTATCCCTGTCGTAAAGTGACACGTACGCTGTCACAAGGGTAACTAAAATTAAGTTGTGTGTAATCCCCCTCCACGACCGTTAGCATTGTAGTATCACCCCTTGTGAATGCGAGTAAACTAACTAAAATGATGAAAACGCCCATTTTATGACAAGCTCCTGGAGACTTGTAATAGAAATTACTGTTCATGACTGTACTGTTCAAGATCGATCTGTCAGACCTGGACTTTCAATTTGCTTCAAACCTGCATTAAAGTGAAATTGATCACGTCCCTCGATCTTGACACGAGTAAATTAATGATAACGGTCGCGATTAATCTGGTTCAACTTTGCATGGGATCCAACATCTGGTACAATTTCTTCACGATTACAAATGAAAATAACAAGCGCCCTTTGTACCTTTTTCTCTGTGTAAGTCCTTGCAGTTTAGACGATGGTGTTATTCTCTCAGTAACAAAAGATTTGGCAGTAGCTACTGAATCACCTTTTTCCTTCAAAATAGATGAACAGTCTTATGTTTTAGCTTTCCGTATCGTCTGCGTTGACCATAAAAACAGCATATGTTTGACGTCTGAAAATGAAAATTACCGACATTATTTTAGTACTCGGATATAAGATTAGATTTTAAAAATAATAATGATATACTTCATCAACTTAATAAAGAATGAAATGTACATTTATATATAAATATGTATATTATATAGTATTATAAAGCAAGAAGTTAGATAGGGCCCCTTAAACGTACAAACATAATTGTCAAATAATAATTTTCAATTGAAATTGAAATTGAATAGTCAGATCTGACATAAAACATGTAAAGGGAAAATATTGACAAGAAAAAAAAAGTGAAAGATATGTCTGTAATATGCCTATGTGCTACTCATCATATTGTACAAAAGTATAAAGAGTAGTAGAAAGCAGTAAATTTAGAAAGTGAAGGGCAAGTTGAACAGAGTCATTTTACGAGAATGTTCATAACAAGTTTTGCCAAGAAAGTGCATGTTATTATTGAGCTATTCGTGTCACTCTCTTCATGAAATAAATTAAAATCAAAGTTTTTTTTCCTGTTTAACGGAATAACAAGACTAGATTTTAAACTAAGTATTCTAAAAAGCTACATACATTCTATTTGTCTGCGCATAATAATAGCATACAATTATATAGGGCTACTTCAGTGCTATGATTTTAAACTATTTTAAACTAGGTCTAATAGGTAAGTCACCCGACTGCAGATCACAAGGAATGGGGTTCGAATCCCAGCACGAAATCTACATTTGCCACCCTCCACCCAGCATTGTGAGCGTCTGTTAAATGACGCCTTGCTGGAATGCTCCCCAGGGAGTGGAGAATGTGCACACATTGTGTGTGTACAAGCCTGAATCCGATGACCGGAGTAATATAGATATGTAAACCGCTTCGAGATATCGATAATGTATTGAGCGCTATATAAAAGCGGAATATTAATATTGTTATTATTCTTTGTTATAACTGTACATATCATTATATTTTTCATGCGCTTTAGAAAACTATGTAATTCTTACGAATACATACCCATATCACGCATTTCTGAGCACGACGATGATATACAAGATGAAAGTTCAAGTTTTTAGCTCACAAGTTTTATAAGTGCTAGGAAAATGCAAACATTCCGATTCAAAATCAGATAGTATTCGCGTAATAACCTCAGTTCAAAGCTCCTTGTAGGTTATGTATGCTGGTGATTCTGACGAACACCCTGTCCTCTCTGTTCATACTGCATAGAGTATTGTGGTATGAAATATCCAAGTGTCAAAGTATAGATTTTTAAAATAATGCATTAATCTTTCGTCAACAACTTTCCAGTGCAGATGTTGCTCGGTATTGATTTTAAAAATATTCCCACTATAGGATTTTGCTTAGTATATTATAAAAGAGTGTGATATAAGATATTCACGTTCACTGGATATCTATGATTAAAACTACTTGTCTATTTAAGACGATTGTTTTTCTTTGTAGAAATCTTGGGTGGGTTATTAAATGTTCCTCAAAAAAGATCCGAGCTGATAGATGGATGGATGGATCGATGAATAGATAGATAGATATCGAAGATATATTATGGATATATATATATATATATATATATATATATATATATATATATATATATATATGGATGGATAGAGGGAGAGATACATAGATGGATAGATGGTTGGATAGATAGGTAGATAGATTGATAATGAACTGAATGGATGGATAGATAATATGATAGATTGATAAGTAGATAGATACTTTAAATGTTGGCCCCAATGGAAATAATTAATGTTAATGGACTGTTATCGTGTAATACAAATAACCATACCAACCAACAGATAAATAAAGATATAAATATATAGATAGATTGGTTGAAAGGAAGATAGATAAACACGATAAACTTATACATTGATCTATAGAAATAGAAAGATAGAAACTACAATACACATCAACGTACGGACTGAAAAGGATATAAGTGTGATCATTAAATGACAGTACAAAACACGAAGAAGAAAATAAATCATGTGCATTTTGAGAGATTTGATAAAGGGAGAGAGGGGGAGGTATATAGGGAGCGAGAGGGGGAGAGAGAGAGAGAGACAGAGAGAGAGACAGAGAGTGAGACAAAGAGCGAGAAACACACATAGAAATAGAGACAAAGCGAGAAAGAGGGGGGAAGAGAGAGAAAGAGAGAGAGAGAGGTACACGGAAAGGTGGGGGGGGGGGGGGGGGTAATAGAAGGAAGGGAATGAGGAAGAGAGATTAGGGGAGTTAGAGAAACAGAGGGCAAAATAGCGACAGACACTGTGACCCGAATTCACAAAGGAGGTTTGTCGACAAACCTAGGATTATGTGCGTCATTATGACGCGTTTCGATGCGTTTCAGACCAAGGATCAGACAAACCTTGGTCTGAAACGCGTCAAAACGGGTCATTATGACGCACATAAACCTAGGTTTTTCTACAAACCTCCCTTGGGGGTTCGGGCCGGAGAGCTTAAGGGAAATGAGGGGGCGGAGGTGTTGAGCGACAGAGAAGGAGGAATGGCGTAATATATGCAATTTGCATTCTCACTATTGACATAAAAATTATTCATAACAGGTGAATGGAATCATTCGTATTGAGGCACTTCACAAAGACTTATGGATATGATATTTTAAAACATTACAAAAATGGCATAATGATATTGTGTTGAATAATCTTGTGTTGTCTCATTCAGTTCATATTCACCCCACCCCTAGAATATTTCCATAACAAAAATTATATTTAAAGGGCTCCAGAAATCAATACAAGATGAATACAGACGATGCTAAGTGTCAAAACATTTGATTGCTTGCAATCAATATGTGCCATGCCGATAGCTAGTTATTGTAGAACGCTCATTACAACTTAAGCGGGTTTCACACCGGGCCATACGTAGAGTTGCGTAGTGCTGCGTACCGACTATGCTTATCGTACCCTGCCCTACGCTGGTCTGCGTAACTATACGCTGAGGGACGCAAAGGGGTATGCGAGATGGACACAAAAAATAAATATGTTTATTTTTTTTCGCGTACTTTCGGCGTAGACATTAGACGCAGAAAGTACACATTTTTTACGCAATGCCTACGCAATAGTACGCTACCCTACGCCAGCCCGACGAAGCAGTAAGTTTATAAAGCGCCAATGCCCACACCCGCGGTTCCTACGAGCGACTATTGCATTTGTGCACGGCGCTGGCGCGCACAGTAAGCAAACGTACGCAACCGTAAGCAAACCTACGAGACCTTTACGCCAGGCCTACGTAAACGTATGCAACCCTACGCCTGTTTAAATATACACACTCACACGCGTAGGTACACCGATAGCATACGCTGTAGGTACGCAGTGCCTATGCACAGGGTACATAACCATACGCCATCGTACGCCAGCCTCAGCATAACCTACGCAGGTACTATGCCGAAGCAACATTTTTTCATGAATACGCAGCCTAATTTCGGCGTACTGGGTAAGGCACACTACGCATCTATACGCAGATCCGGTGTGAAAATGGCTCTATATGTACATTTAAAAACATGAATAATAAAAGGAAAACAGGACAGGAGACAACTTTCACATTCAATTTGATTTTTGAATTTATTGAAATAACATCGTCACAAGGTATTTCGACATTTTGTAACAGATAGTTAATAAGCAAAAAGAAATCCCAGTAGTTCTTATTTTTTATTTTTGGGGGATAAAGTACTTTATATTTTCATAATCTCATTACTTCAACATGAAAATATTCATACCTTCAAAATATTGCCTAGAATGGCCCTGCAAAATCAATAACACACATAAACATGTTCATTACACAAACAGTGTAATATATTATGAATGAGAAATTGCACAACTAAGACATACTGAAAGGTACTTGTGATTTATATGCTCAAAACCATCATTAGGTGGCATTTTGGACAAAGAAGCAAACCTTAAAATGGGGAAGTTAATTTTGTTTTAAAGATTAAAAATTCATTTTATTAAGCATCACATGATGTTTAAGTGGGCTCTATTAGAATAAGCTACAAGTTTTATAATCTTCGGAAAGCTCGGAATGTCTAGAAAATACACCCACAAACATGGAATCCTGCAGGGATTTGTTGTGGTTTTGACTTTTGAGAACAGAATGACAATGGTCTCCTTATAGTAAGAACTCAAGACTTGTTCACATATACATTTATGACGCAGTAAACTGGTTTATTTTTCTATGAAAGCATAGTATACATTTCGGGCCAATTTTTCTTGCGTGCAGCGTTTTTGGTTCATTCCAATTAATTTATCCATTAGCATATTTAACTCCTTATTTATTTGGTATTATTTCAATGACATTTTAAAACATTCAAGGAAAATAGGGACCGTGCAGGTAGGGCCGGCCGGATCCAGTTGGGGTACTTAAAAAGATTTTAAAAATACATTAAATAATAAGGAGAGGCTCGGGCTGTTTGCACCCCTAAACTAACTCCTGTTCGCCTGCCTAAAGTTTCACTTCTACAGTTGGTACGTTCGTGTAATCATTTCTTTGTTTATCTATTATATTTCTATGTTTCGTGATTTTACAAATCTTTCGAAACGTTGCCGTAAGAACTACGCACAGGGCAACGATTGTCATAACCAAAAGCACGAAAACGGCCCGATGCAGTGAAATGTATGCGTTGTTCTTAACAGGTATTTCCGTAATACTTTCATATACAGGTGATAATGTGGCGATAGTAGGGAAAGAAATGTTATCTTCGTTAGGACTTTGGGATGATGTTGAATCTTGCTGAGGCGCGGCGCAAGGATCTATGATGATGGTTCCATTGTGTAAGGGATCCCATACAAAGTCATTACATGTGCATCTGTCGATTGGTTGATCTTGAAGAGAAGCACAGCAGTAGGAAGTTTGAGAATACCTGACCCAGATAGTCTGTTGTAGAATATCCCCAACCTCCGTAGGTGTGGTCACTGGGGGCAGCCGAATTCCATTTTGATAGCAAGCAATCTGTCCTGGCATACTCCCCGCAGGAGCCTTGCACAGCATGGAGCCAAAGTCATCGCCAACATCCTCCTCTCCCCACTCGCAAGACGCCTTACCCGGCGGATAATCAACTCTCAAACCAATCCTTGGGTCCTCTAGAATATTTCCATTACTGTCATATGCAGTGAGAATATATCCGCCTTCATCAGACCTTAGGACAGGGTTGATTTTAAGTTGGAGAAGACAGTTGCTGCTCTCAGTTTCACTTTGAAACGAAAGTTCTCGATGCTCGGGCAATGACACTGACTCTGGATTAGCTGAATCGTAAAATGGAGTTATGTATCCATTTCGTAAAGTCACGCGTGCGTTAGCACAAGGGTAACTAAAATTAAGTTGTGTATAATCCCCTTCAACAACAGTTGTAATTGTAATTTCACCCCTTGTGAATGCGAGTAAACTAAGCAAAATTATGAAAACACCCATTTTATGGAAAGTTCCTGGAGACTTGTTTAAAAAAAAACTGTTCATGACTGACGAAGAGATTGACTTTCACTGTGAAATTGCCCAAATGTAAACGGTCGATATATTTAGCATTAAGTCTTCTCATCAAATCAGGGAATATTATTTTGCTTCACAAATGTATGAAATTGGAAAGTGATCTCGTCCCTCTTCGCGGTTGATCTTCTTCAACTTTGCTTGGAATCCAACATCTGGTACAAATTTCTTTCCGATGACGAAATGAAGATAACAAGCTCCATCTGCAACTTTCTATCACAAAAGCCCAAGCATTGAGACGATGGTATATTCACTCAGTTACCAAATGTTAGTCATGAAGAATCCTGCTTTGCAATAGCAGTATTTCGTTTAGATTTTCATGTCGTTTGTGTTGACTCATGAAAACAACGTATCATGTTTCAAATCTGAAATGAAAAGTGTAAACATTATTTTCTGTTAGATATTTGAAAAGAAATTTCATTAGAAATTATGCCAATAAGAATCGCAAAAAAAACGACATTATATTCTTATATCACTCCCAATTATATTGAATTTTTTATGGCGAATAATACTCGTAAAAGTCTCTATGCGCTTTAATGATGAAAACTGTTCCTAGACAACGATATGCGGTTGCAAATATACTATGTTCATTGAAATGTATCATACCATGGACCTACCATAATCATACTACAGTCTACATTACAGAAAAATGGGAATTCCCACGATCTACATGCAGATAACAAGTATGATAGACAATTAGCATATCGATATAGTTCGGTCAGTAAAAATTGACTAAATGATGACAACAATGAACTAGCTAGCTATCACAGAGCAAATAGTTTCATGAAGGAACAATTATTCTGATATTTTCAACTAATTTCAATTTACCAAACTCAATTAACATAAATGATAGAAGTTAATAAAGTATTGGAAATTAAGATTGTTTGCTTTGTTTAATAGAATAGCCAATTTAAACTGCTTTGATTTATACTTCGTCGTAATATTTAATTTTATTTAATTATTTTAAATTTTCAGTTCGGAATACATCAGTAGGCCTATACACCAAAACATACATGAACAAAAATTAACTTACTATAAACAGAACTGGCCAGGGCTCCAAGATAGGCGAAGCTTGATGCCTTGTGAGCCCTGACATTTAATATTCCTACACTGTACGACATTGTTATATATATGTATGTTTATCTTTTTTCGAGAATAATTATGTAATTATGACGAGTACATACCAATCAAGCTTTAAGCACGCACATCTGAGCACGACGATGATAGATGAAAGTTAAAATTTGATCAGTTGATTTTCAGCACTTGCTTCTCACCTTTAGAACTATAAAAGAGAAGGGAAACATTCCGATAAAAATTGATGTTATGTCAATAAGTCTTTATAAGGTGTCATCTCTTCGGTTCCAAGCTCGTGCTTGCTTTCAAGCTTATGCAGATTATCCTAACGAACATATCGTGAACAATCAGCTTGAACCTGATTGCTTGATAACGTATAAGTAGGGGCAGCGGAGCGCCTTCCAAACTGGGTGGGGGGGGGGGGGACACCAACAAAAACGAGAACTTTCTGGAAAAAAGAGCACCTACAAAGCGAAAATATATAATATTTTGGACATTGTTATATACCTCTACATTGTGATTACATTATCAGGGATGGTTTCAATATCTATTTCTCTTTATACATCATACAATATTTTGTTTAAGCATCATACTTTGCAGTTGGGTGGATATTCTTTGCGAACGAGGAAAATTTGCAAGATTTGTGAGGTCGCAGTGCAAAAATGTACATCTTATAACGAGGAAAAAACAACCCTCATAACAGAAGACTGGAAAGAACTTTGATAAGTAAAACAATTATATTATCTTCTATAAATGAGGACTAGCGTAGCGAGCCAGCCTTGGGTGAAATTAAATGAAAAGCTGCTCTTAGTCGCTTTAAAATTTAAATTGGGAGTACATTTTATGGTAAAAGGAAAGGGGACATTTATTTAATGGGAAAATGACAATTTTCGAAAAGAAAAAGAGCACGATACACAAAAAAGGTGAATTATCTGAGGTAAAAAATTGGGCACTTCTCGTACCTGATATGCACTTATAAGAATGGAAAGGGGACGTATAAAGGAAAAGAGACCTTGTCAAAATATGAGGGGCACCTCTCAAATTTGATAAAGAGGCAATTATAAGAAGTGAAGGGCACTTATCAGATCTGTTAAGGGGCACTTCTTGTACCTGAAAAGGGACACTCACCATAGATAAAAAGGGCACTAATGTGAACGAAAGGGCGGCACTTATCAGAGATGAAAAAGGGCCCTTATTTTAAAGTTTAGGAGTGCACCTCTTAAAATTAATTGAGGCATTTATCATAAATGTGAGAAGGGGCATTTATGTGGAGGGGATAGGGCTCTATTAAAAACAGGGAGTTAATCAGAAGGAATAAAGACACTTATTGAAAAGAAAAGGGGAGGAGGTGTCAAATTTAGAAGAGCATTCAATGTTAAAGCAAAATCATCTATGTTTGATAAAAGTCGGTTCAGAGACGGTTGAAATACCCATAAATATAACCATTTCTAATATTTGTGGGGTCCCACAAATATTCCATAATTTTGAACCAGTCGTATAAACGAGAAGGCGCCTTATATGTTTAATCCCAGCCAATGCCAATTTTGCTTTTTTGTTGTTGGCCTTTTCGTGTTGGTTATAATAAGCACAGCCAGCCGGCCTGTGTATTGTTCATTTTTCGTGCACATTCTGCCCTATTAATATTCTTCTTCTGATTCCTCTCTATCGTCCGGAAATCACGTTCGTTTTGCACGTAGTGCTTGTTATTGCAATGACGATCTTCGTCATTGCTTTGTTTTCGTTCACATTCTTCCCTATAAATATTCTTCTTCTTCTTTTTCTTCTTCTTCTTCTCCTTATTGTTGTCAGGAAATCCCATTCGTTTTGCACGTAGTGCTTGGTATCACTAGTTAGGCCCTTTCTCATATCCTTTTCCTTTCAAATTTCGTTAACGTAATCTCAATATATCTAATCTAGGTTACCTATTTATCGTTTTCCGAAATCACTCATGCGTAACCGCCCAGGCGCCATTTTGTTCGTTTCTGGTCCTAGATACTTCAAACTTCTAAGAAATTACGAACTTGCCTTTTCCGTCTCGTCTCAATTTATTGCAGTATCTATATCTCATAATTGCACATTATAGAGCTATGCTAAATTTCACGCTCTAATGGCTATGTAAAAAATAAATAGCGCCCTCTAAAGTTGTAGGAATTGGCTTTCTTTCTGTGGCCGTAGATCCACCGTGTCTTGGCAAACCCATACCCTTTTTGGTTTAGATACTTGAAGATATATGTCTTTTCCAGCCAAATACAAAAACATAATAACGCTGACCGACTTTGTGAAAATTCCCCTCCAAATTCAGGGGCGCGCCTTATGGCCCATGTTGGTGTCGAGGGGGTGGAGCCCCCGAAAGCTCAGGGGTTTTAGGCATAACATTACCGTCAGGTAAGCATCGAGGGGGCGGCCTTACGGCCCTTGTAGTAGTAGTAGTAGTAGTATTTATTTCCGTATAAAAAACATAGTAACAATGCATAAAATACGGTGGATAGCCCACATTCAGCTAACCCGACATGGGAAAGCTGGTCTTCCGTGGGGTCCGGAACAATTACATAAACAAAACATTACATAAATACATATATGAACAACAGTAAAAACACTTTGAAAAAAAGAAGTAGTATAAAATAAAGGGGAAAAAGGAGAAGAAAAAACATTTCATAAAAAACAAGTAATCATTAAAGATAAGGAGGGGGGACCATGTGCTACTGTAACAGTTCTACAATCTTAGATTTGAATGTATTAACACTAGGGGAAGATTTGATATGAGGAGGAAGTGTGTTGTAGGCCTTTGCGTTTCTATACTTGAATGATCTTTTGAGGTAATTTGTTCTAGGTTTGGGTAATTTTATTTGAGCTCCAATTCGGGAAGGGTAGGAATATTAATGTGTTCTCAACTCAAATTCATTTCTTAAATACTCGGGGGTTAGATTATTCATAATTTTATACATCAGAACAAGGGAATGATGATTTCTTCTTTTGTCCAAGAGTTGCCAATTAAGAGCGTTATGCATTTCCAAAACAGAGACATGAGATTCAGGTTTTATTTTAAGTATAATACGGCCTGCCCTATTTTGCAATTTTTGAAGGCGATCTGTATATTTACTGAAAGCTGCACTGTATATAACATCGCCATAATCAAAATACAGAAGGATCAGTGAGCTATTATATATATTAATTTCAGTACCGATTCACCTAGGAATCGCCTTAGTCTTCCTAGAAAGCCTACCATTTGACCAATTTTCTTCAACATATTGTCTATATGTAAATTCCAGTTTAACTTTTCATCAACTAAGACGCCAAGGTACTTGACATGATGAACTTGATCTATGGAGATTTCATTCAATGAAACTCGGAGGACATTCTTTTTAGATATCCAAGTGGTTGCTTCCAATGAGCATACAAACTGTTTTTTGAAAGTTGACACTTAATATGTTTTGGCACATCCAGTAATACATATTTCCTAGGTCTGAGTTTAAAGCTAATTCAATTCTATCTATGGAAGGATGTGAGAAATATAAAACAATATCATCAGCATACAACTGAACTTGACAGGTTTTTATACATTTTACTAAATCATTTATATATACGATGAAGAGCAGTGGCCCTAGAAGGGAACCTTGGGGCACACCACACTCAATAACTGATTCGAAAGAAAGCTCTGCATTAAAGGGATCGTTTAACAATTTTAAATCTGAGATACACGACCCTACGTGTTATCAGTGTCTGTGATATGGTGAAATATTGAAGCCCTAAAAAAATTGAGCTTCAAAATGATCAAGAAGTGCCTCAAAAAAGTAAAAATCTTTGAGTGACCGGTTTTACCATACTCGTTTTCCCCAATAGACTGTATTGTTATGAAAACCGTCAGACGAACGGTTTTCAAAATTTGTAATTCCAATCATAAATATCTTGCTAATCAGACAGGCGATCGGCTTGTAAAAGTCATGAGGTTCCAGACTGACCTAAAGGTTTATAATTATCATTGCGTCATGAGCTAAATCCAGAATTTTGTTTCAGAATCTGAGACAAAGTTACCGGACCCCTACTAAGTGTCCTACTGACTCTGTCTGACATGTAGCTTTTAAACCATGAACACGGAGTGCCAGAAATTCCGATGCTATTGAATTTCTTAATAACAATATCACAATTCTCATGTAGAAACTCCAAAAGTTGCCTTTGGACAACCCGTTCCAGTATTTTAGATACGCAGGGCAAAATTGAGATGGGCCGATAATTTGAAGGAGAGCTCTTATCGCCACTTTTGTGAATTGGGATAATCTTGGACCTTTCCCATTGTTGAGGAAATTTACCGCTCAACAAAGAGCGGTTGATCAGGTTGGCAATATCTTGGTAGCACATGCTTTCAAAACAAAAAACTGATATTTTATTTACACCTACAGATTTAGTATTTTTCAATTTGTTTATAACTCCAAACACATCATTTTCGGTTACAGGCGTAAACTAAAAACTCTTAATTAATGGTATATTGTTTTCTATAAGGAGAGGCGTATCAGGAATTTCTTTTGCTAAATTACTTCCTACTTCAGCAAAGAAGGTATTGAAAAGATTAGCAGTATCAACATTACTTTCTGAATTAAGCGCAACTATTGGAGTGTCACGTTTCTTATTTGGAATGATAGATTTTAATGTCTTCCAAGTTTGTTTTGGATTAGCACTAGAAAGTGAGAATTTATCAGAGTAGTATTTTCTCTTTGCTTTTCTTACATCAGTAGGAACTTTATTAGGTAGTACTCTATATTCACACATGAGTTTTTCATCTTTAAGTTTACACGCTCTCCCTTTCAGTTTGTCACGCTTTATCATGAGTTTATAAATACCTGCATTTATCCACGGAGAGCCCCTAGTACTTATTCTTTTTGAACGATATGGCATGTGTTTGTCAACAACTTGTAACAACAGATTTTGCCATAATTCAACAACTTCGTCAATAGAATCGCACTGATTTATAAACTCACATTTCTGGTTGCGAATATCATTTCTAAACTCATTACCATCAAGTTTGCTGCAACTTCTGAAGTTAATAAAGATGGGGTGTGATGAAACATTGGCATTCCAAATTAAAAAGCTGATGGAAGGTCCAGGGGGCAGAGTCCCAGGAAGTTTAGGGATTTGAGTCGTTTAATTACGGTCAGATGTGCATATTTTGATATCTATTTTGTGACACTGGCAGGACACTATTGGCGTGGGGTCAAGGGGGGGGGGGGATCCGCGCCTGAGTCCACCTTCTTATCATTCTCACAATACTAATAACATTTAGTGAACTTGTTTATGAAACATATACATGGATTGTAAGTAACTCTATTCCGATGAGCTTATAATGCGGCTATTGCTTGATCAACTAAATTTAGAGGTCAAAAATGAAATATTATACTCACTGTTTGCCTAGATCCTGCTAAATGCGAAATAAATCGTGGTATAAGACGTCGAATAATCTTCTCAGAAATAGTAATCCAATTAAAGCCGAGCTGAAAGGATTCACATATAATCTTACACAGTTCAAATAAAAGTAACTGACAACAAGTGACATGGTGTCTTCTAGAATGTTTTTACAAAGGCGTTTACAATGTCTTTTTCGCAAGATTAGAGGAGAGTTTGTCTCTGTGTTATAAATCCGGTTTGCAGATGCCGCAACATGCAGTATTTTGAAGAAAATGATCTAGAAATCAATCTATTGCAGATTCTCTTTGCACAAATGTGCCTCGTTGATTCAGATTTTGATGTAGAAGTGACGGATAACCCGTATGAAATGAAATCGTTGGCTCAATCGGTAAGGTCAGCGTAAAACAATCTTAGAGTTCATCAGTTGTGGGTTCAAGTCTCAGTTTATTCAGTTTTTTTGCCTTTATGAATAGTGAGGCAAAGCAATAAAAAATCAAAGTCTAATTGTTTGTGACCTCTTTCCAAGCTGCTAATGACGTAGAACATAATCAGCCATTGAGCAGAACGGAAATATAAGAAATTGTAAACCTGTTTGGGAATAAAAATCTAATTGTTTGTGACCTCTTTCCAAGCTGCTAATGACGTAGAACACTGTTTGGGAATAAAAGTCTAATTGTTTGTGACCTCTTGCCAAGCTGCTAATGACGTAGAACACTGTTTGGGAATAAAAGTCTAATTGTTTGTGACCTCATTCCAAGCTGCTAATGACGTAGAACACTGTTTGGGAATAAAAGTCTAATTGTTTGTGACCTCATTCCAAGCTGCTAATGACGTAGAACATATCAGCCATTAAGAAGAACGGAAATATAAGAAATTGCAAACCTGTTTGGGAATAAAAATCTAATTGTTTGTGACCTCCTGCCAAGCTGCTAATGACGTAGAACACTGTTTGGGAATAAAAGTCCAATGGTTTGTGACCTCATTCCAAGCTGCTAATGACGTAGAACATATCAGCCATTAAGAAGAACGGAAATATAAGAAATTGCAAACCTGTTTGGGAATAAAAATTTCGCGCCCGGGCACCGACCTAATCGCTGGGCGATGCCTAATTCCAGCAGCGACCGAGCAGGCTACTGATCTGTCGGTCGCTGCTCTGATTTGTGACCATAGCTTTAATCGAATTATGTTATTATTATGAAAAAGAATGATATTCTGAAGAGTTCTTTGTATTGTATTGTATTGGGGGGTAAGAGGACATTTTTTTCTTCTTTTGGTCCCAACAACTTCGCAACGACTCAGCTTACCGCTGAATAAGCAGCCGGGGTGGGGGGGGGGGGGGGGGGGGGGGGGGGGGGTAAGAGGACATTTTTTGTTTTTGTCCCAAAAATTTCGCAACAACTCAGCTTACCGCCGAATAAGCGGGGGGGGGGTAAGAGGAAATATTTTGTGTGTGTGTGTGTTATATTAAAAAAAAAACATCGCTTCGAGGGGTCATTTTATAGGATTTTGTGAAAGAAACGTTATAATTTTGTACTTTCTAATCTTCATTCGTTGCTGTCAGCTGTGTGACAATTTTGTAAGCGAAGCATATTTTTTTGAGGCCGCCATCCTTGTCAAGCTTTGCTTACGATTGCGGTCTCCTGCACTTTTCCAACAGAATAGTTCGGATAATACTTTAAATTTATGATAATATGTTATGGAAATAATAAGTTTCGTTATTGTATGTACATATATTATGTAAAAAAACATTTTGACATGAAGAAATTATTGTTTGTTTATGTTGTATTATACCTTACATGTATATTATGTTCTTTGTTATTCAGTTATATTTTATTTGGAAAAAATGCAGAAATAAAATTTTAAAAATATATAATGATATACAGTAAATATATTGTTTCGTTGATCGAAACTTATTTCTAGTGGATTTGCTGATATTTACTCTTTTCTTGTTCATTGAAAGATACCATAGATTTTTCGGTTTACGGCCGTTTATAGGTGGCTAATTTTAGCTTCGAAACATGTCAGAAAACCCGAGGCACAAGTTTCGACCGAAGGCTTGAAATTTCAACCGTATGTGCAGATTTCGTCAAGCTAGAAGTTTGGCCGACTCTCATTATGTTTAAGAAAGTTTATAGTTCCTGCCCAAGAAGTAAGTTTGCTTTAATATTAGGTTTAATGACTTTATGAACAAATTACTAAAATGTGAAACGAAAAGTGAATTCTCGTGGTTTATGTTCATTTGCATTTAATTTGCATATTTCCTGTCGCTGCAGTAAGATATAAGAATGCGACAAGTTTCGTGGGAAAAAATGAGATATGAAAACAAAATATAATCCTTATAATGGAAAAGGGTATGAAAGGAAATAACTATCGAGATGAGGTCAAGCTGTTTTTATTAATAATTCTTCAAGAATTTAATGTTACTTTCCTGTGTTTAAAAGGAGGTGCAATTTACATAGGTTTTGAGCATGAAACCAAAACTGAAGTTAGCACATCAATTTGTTGCATTGTTTACATCAATGAGTGTTTTTGTCAGGGGCTTGTTTATGAAAGCTTATAAATCTGTACAACAATTATTAATGGAGAAATCAAAAAGGCATGAGGGATTTATATGTTAACTGAGTGTCTGAAATGAATCAAACTGGGCTAGGTTATTTTAACTTGGTTAGAGAAAAGTTATGCAAGAGTTGTGATGTGCATAATAATATTGCAAGTTGAATTTTGCTCAAGTTGAACTTGATATACATGGCTTGAGATTTATTTTCCAATACAAAAGGATTACTGGAGTAGTTTACACTTTCATATTTGCAAGGTAATTATTGCAGATATTTCATGAAGATAATTATGATTTAGACTACATATGTATCTGATGACTAGTGGTCATGATGCAAGATAAGATACAACAATTATTATTCAATAATGACACAGAGAGACATGTTTTGATAGTTCAGTCAAGTTTATTATTTATATAAGAAGTACAATTCAGAGCTTCATAGTCTAGACAAATATGTATTCAGTGTTAATCAAGGTACTGAAGGTACATGTCTAATTTCCGGTTCAATTTGTTTGTTCTTTTTATGCAGATTGAATTATATATTCTTCAACATCTGAACTGCGTTGTTCGACGACATTTGACTCACATCGTTGGTCATTTGATTAAAGTACAAATCAACGCCATAATACAATTTCGTGCAGAGAGTCGTCTTTTTGTTCTCAGCAAACCATATATCATACCAACAAAATTGCAGGGGGTGCTGTGCCCCCCCCCCCCTGGAAAAATTCCGGGGGTGCTGCAGCACCCCCGCTTCCCAGGGCCATGCATAGACCTGGATTCTCTAAAACAAAAGAGAGACACACAAAAGAGTGACTTTGTCTGGAAAGCACACAAATCTATTTCCATGAGTCATACCATGATATACGGACAGGTACACTCTTTATATCATGTCACAGTATCGTAGGTGAATAAGATATTTCATACGGCTAGGGTTCTGACAAGGGTAAAGAAGAGTTCTGACAAGGGTAAAGAAGAAAGATTTTTACGCTGGCGGATTTTACATCTAACAAAATCATTGACAGTAACCTAAAGAGCTGGGTGCTATAGAAGCGCTCAAAACATGTTTGTCGAATACATTCTATAGAGTAAAATTACAATGGAAACTATTTGAAGTGTAAGGATGTCCAAACAAGGGTATTACTTCGTTCCGCTTTGATACAATAAAAACGCACCTTGATTGATCGCTGGTAGGTTTTACATTAAAAAGCAAACAAATAATTGGATGATCACTGATTGTGACCCGATCGGGACCGTGGGTTAAGCTCAAAAGCATGTTCGCCGTAAAGATTCTTTAGAGTAAAATTACAATACAGTAGAAATGTGTAGAACAGGTGTCACATGCATATTCACCTTTTTACATAATAGCAGTGAAGGGATGTTCCTTTGTCTATCTGAGGAACTGTATATTTTGTCCGCTTTCTTTGTCTGTCATGTTCATAGTGCTTCTTCATGCCCGTCCCCAAAAACCTTCTTATTGTTCTTGTCTCAGAGTTTACGGACTGTAGATCCCTTTTACATGTGGTATAACAAGACCTATAGTATCAATCTATGAAATTTAGAGAAGACGTAAGAAATTATTTCTTATTTTAATGGTTAGTTCGTTGCAGTACAATAGAAATTATAGCTGCAGTTACTGTCAATATTAAAATCAATGTATAGAGGTCAAACAGAGGAAAAGAGACAAACAAAATAAATGCTCGGTATATGTATATTATGATACTTTGCATGTGACTTTTCAGGAAAGAGATTTCAATGGAAAGATTTATGGTGCGTTAAAAACTTTGATGGTATAATCATTTTTGATAGCCCCATATTCTGAGTAAATCACATTTTTATGTTTCATTGCGCCATACATATCAAAAATTCAAAAGTATATCTTACAGGTTCATTACTTCAAACACGTAATGAGAAACTATGTCAATTAAAATTTCTTTATTCATATTCGGTCAAAACATAATAAATTATCATATTCGACATACTAAGAATCTTGCTCTGCGATTGGTCAAAAGTAAATCATGTGATGAAAGATAGGTCGCCCATCATTGCTGGGAGAAGCAAAAGGTTCGTTGCACCAGGAAGCTGTAATGAATGGAGATACCGTCTCGAAAGAATTTCCCGAGGAAACGATATTCAAGATTAACTTGGCTTCACAAAAAGAAATGTTACCCTCTCCAGCCATCAACAGCTGTCCTTATAATGCACAGTTCCCCTCTGGTATTCCAATATTACGAAATGTTATGCAACGCCTTCTGCTTCCCGAAGTTCTCTATTCACTCGGTCGTACAAATGTGCAGGCATCGAGCTTTGAAGACATGCGTGGCACCGAAAAAATTAGGTCATGTTTATACAGAATTCCCAACATATGACCAATGTAACTGTTATTGGTCATCAAATGCTTTTTTCGTGCTCGGACGGCTCTACTGAAGACAAAACCATTTCAATCAGCAAAATTGACCAAGGAAATCGTGAGTTAGAGCGAATGTAAGGTTTTCATCATCATGATTTTCTCATCTAATTATTGACATTTTCCGAAAATTTCCGAAATTTGTATATAGCTAGGAAGGTAGTCCAAAGGTCTATCTCCCTAAAAAAAAAAAATTGTGTTATATGTTTGCGCATTTGGTGAACGAGGGTTAGAAGTTGTCCCTTCATCCCCATATTTCGCCCCAAGTACGGGCCAGCAACGCATTTAAGCCGCCTTGCTCGCTGGCCTGGCTGTGGGTGGAACGGGGAGACTTAGAGCCACTAGGGGGCTGTATGGTCTCGGAGAGGGATCAAGGGGATTACGGTAGGGGAAACAAAAGACGC